AAGTTGACCACAGGCCTTGTGGCACAATTGGTATCTTAGAGGTACCCTGGTCATTGGGTATTGGTCATGATGTAAATCCCTACTCAATTCTCTTCTTAGAAACAATTGATGTAATCATGTTCTGAAAGAGTAGCCCAAAAATCCAGTTGTTATTTATGCCCTTTGGAAGCTAGTCTGTGTGATGAAAGATTGAAGTTTGATTTAATAAAAAATTTCTTGTAGCCTTGAGAACCCATACAGTAGATTTTCTCCTAAACCGCATTGGTGCTTAAACACCTTGACTTAGACTTGACTAGTCGTAAAGGGACCACTTGTGCTACAATGCCTGTGCGGGAGTATGGATAGTTGAGTACATATTAATGATCTTCTGATTGTGAACTCTGATTGGTTATACAACCACCTATCAAATATAGCTTAGTAATGCTGGAGGTACAGCTGAAGTACTGTCTGGGAATTTTTTTTATTCAATGATTTGTTGTTGTTAATGCCACCTAGTGATGGTATGGTTCAACGTCTAATGCAGAGCATCAGGAAGGGTGAGTGCCCAAAAGAATTGGAGCCAGCTGATAAAAGGACTGCTGTCAATGTTAATCTTATGAGGAAGGAGGAAAACTGCCCTGTTTGTCCTTATTTTTCTCCTTAGCTTTGTGTCTCAGTTCTCTCCTAGCATCTGCCACTTATATTAATGTCACCCACTATATTCTTTGTGCAGATACCAGAGAAGCGCCAAGTTTCATTTCAGGGTGTTGGAAGAACTTTAGGTAGCACACCAGTGGAGACAACTGCTGCTGCCACTGCTGCCCTCACCACTGCTCCTTCCCCATCCATGGGTCTAGTTGTGGATCAAACACTACCTTCTACCTCGATTCAGCTTAGGTTGGCAGATGGTACACGCCTGGTTTCACGTTTCAACTATCACCATACGATCAGAGATATCCGTGCCTTCATTGATGCGTCCAGCCCCGGTGGAGTAAGGACTTATCAACTGCAGACAATGGGTTTCCCCCCGAAACTGCTCTCTGATCTGGACCAGACCATAGAGCAAGCTGGCCTAGCCAATTCAGTTGTTATCCAGAAACTCTAGCAAGTCGTGTAATTTGTTGTCCATTTGTTTCAACTGATACATCACTGGTATATCAAAACTCACTGTGTGTGTTCCTTGAATCGATAAATCTGTGTTTTTAAGATGATAGGTACAATTTGCTGGGGGAAATATTCCTATTTACATGGATTCAGGATGATTTTTGATGTGCCTTCAGCGTGAAGGGTCCTTAATTTACCGGCCAAAACGTACCAATATGAATTCTATTTGTTCAATACGATCTGTTATAGTAGCCTTCATTCTGCTTTTTGTCGATGAGTTATGGTCTTCTGTCTGGGCTACACAGATGGTGGTAGCCTAGGCCTCCCAACTCCCCGCCCCTTTTTCTTTATCTTTTTTTTTTTCAGTATAGAAAATGATTTTTCAGATAAGCCAATTTACATATCTACCATGGGGTATTGTTTCTCAGTATTATACAGTTGTTTGTAGGAGATTTCACCGAATTTATGTCAAGGTTGAAGTTAAGGTTCTACTGTGTATTTTGGGTGTTGAAGAATAGGTTTAATTTTAACGAGTTGTCGTAGCTATGAAGACTTAAACTCAAATATTGAGCAAAAAAATTCAAAATATTATCCGCCAAGTCAACGTCTCGATAGTCTTCTTGCCCCTCTCGGCCTTGCCTGTCTTTGTTTCCATCAGCATCCCCAAACCACCACCACCAACAACAAAAAAATCGAAGCAAACAAAAACTGGTTTCGCCCCTGCAAATACACAAACCATGTATCTTTATATTGTATACAATATGGTATTTGTCTATGTATAATTTTGTGTCCTTGTGTATTTGATTGGTGGTGGGCAGGGGTGGACGTGATTGTTTTAGCAAAGCCTTTGGCACTGCACAATGTTCGTGGTGGTTTTCATTTTCTGTTTTTAAATTTCACCCTCTTATTACATTTACTTTTTTTTATTATTATTATTTTTTTTAATCAAATGAATCTTAAAAAATCAGGTTTAACCAAAATATTCAATAAAGGGGATTGTCACTTATTGTATTCCTTGTGGGCTCTATCCTAACTACCATACGAATGTTGAAAACATAATATTATTTAAATTTAATTTATTATTATAAATTATTAAATTAGCTGCGGTTTCGTCCTGCTTGACATCCGCACCCAAACAATTTCCGACCAATCTCCTCATCTTTCTCTCTCTTGCCCGACCCCCTATTTCCCAGCAACTAGGGTTTGTGCTTCTTCTACTCTTTCACACCAGCATTTCAACTCTAATCCTTCAATCACCTCCTAAATCCAATACAATGCTATCAATAATACGTTCCGATTCAAGCTCGTTCTAGCTCTAGAAAAAACAAGGACTTTCTCGCTCTGGAATCCGAAGACCATTCTGCTTTCATTCTCTCTGTATTCACTCTATAGCATAGCATCGGAGATCAGTTGTTGATGGCGAAGACAAAACCTGGAAAGAAAGACCTCGATTCTTACACTATTAAGGCCTCCAACAAACTCGTCAGACGTAACACCTCTCTGTCTCTCCCCCCCCCCCCCCAAACGCACGCACACTCCTCAGTCTCATTTCTACTTTGAAACCTATTTATTTTTTGATTGTATTGCATTCATTTATGTGTTTGAATTGTACTGTGAGGTTTGAGTGTATTCGACTTATGACCTCTTCCCTTCTCTGCACATACCCACAAGCACACTTTTACATTTTTTACAAGTTTGATTTTTGGGTGTGTTTGGCCTCACGACCCTCTCTCTCACGCAAACACACACACACTCTCAGAGAGAGTTTTTACCTTTTGTAAGTATGATTTTTGAGTTTGTTGTGACGACCTATCCTTCTCCCTAACACAATGCTTCTACTCTCTGACCTTGATTATTTGTGTTTATTGTGGATTTTAAATGTGTTTTTCAGCTGGAGACTGTGTGTTAATGCGGCCACCTGACTCTGATAAGCCCCCATACGTGGCGAGAGTCGAGAAGATCGAGGCAGACCATCGGAACAACGTGAAGGTTCGAGTCCGGTGGTACTATCGCCCTGAAGAATCAATTGGAGGCAGAAGACAGTTCCATGGATCGAAAGAGCTGTTCTTGTCGGACCACTATGATATTCAGAGTGCTCACACTATTGAGGGGAAGTGCATTGTTCACTCTTTCAAAAACTACACTAAGCTTGAGAATGTTGGTTCGGAGGACTACTTTTGTCGGTTTGAGTACAAGGCTTCAACTGGAGGGTTCACTCCAGACCGTGTCGCTGTGTGAGTTTTGGAGTTTTGGGTTTTAGTTTTTTTCATTGTCTTGTTTGAGAGTTGGTGAATTGTATGTGATTGGTTTTGGCTAATACTCAATTTTTTCTTGATGTTTTGGTGTGGAAGGTATTGCAAGTGTGAGATGCCTTATAACCCGGATGACCTCATGGTGCAATGTGAAGGGTGCAAGGACTGGTACAGTTTGTTGCATTATTATCCTGCATTTTCTATGACTGATACGTCTGTGTGGAATTTGAATGATGAGCTGTCAAACACTTGCAATTTTTGCAGTAGAATTTAGACCTATGTGAGAAAAATTTATATGATAAGGCTTTCATGTTCTTTCTTTGCCATTTCTCATGTTGTTGTCTCAAGTACTTGGAAGTACAGGTGAAATGATTGTTGTCTAATTAGCCAATGGATGAAGTGAATAAGTTTCTATTATTAATTGAACCTCTATAGATAATTGATACAAAAAAGGATAGACTTCAAAGTGACAAATGAAGAAGTTGCTGACAAGTGGTTGTGTCGAACGTTAATTGTTTTATAGCTATGTGAACCATGTGTTTAAATTATTGGGCTTATCGTTCATATGAATTAATAGTTTTCCGTGAATTTCAAATATCCGTCTATGTTTGAATGTTTTTTTTATTTTTTATACATAGGGTTGAGTTCACGGATTGTAAAACATTACCCGAATATGTTTTGCCTCGTCAGTTTGATGGGGAAACTTCTCAATCTAATGCTTATTGTAATAATGTAGTCTTATTCAGCTTGATAATATATATATCCGTTTCGCCTTTTTTATGCCGGTATCCCTTAATTCATAAACCAATTGTTGGCAGGTTTCATCCTTCTTGTATGGGTATGACCATAGACGAAGCGAAGAAATTAGAACTTTTCATGTGTTTGGACTGTTCATCAGATGATGATGCCAAACGGTCCTTAAACTCATTCCCTGTCTCCCCATCTGGTGAGGCTAAGGTGATAACACCTTCTACTCCTAGCTTGACATGACTTGATTTGCACATATTGTCATTATATTATTTTTGTGGAATGTTTGTTTGGCTATCTGAATGATGCACCTTCTCATGCTGATAGGTGGGCTTTGCTAATTCACTAGGTAATCCTAATAATGAGCACTGTGCTGATTCACAATCTCATCCTCATAATGAGAACCTGAACATAGTTGATCAGTTGAAATCTGTCATGTATATCTATTAAATTGGCACTTTCTGAAGCGTCTTCGTGAGTGTATAAGAGGTATGCTGCTGAATGCTTACTGTGTCTGACTCATAGTTACCAGAACTAACTAAACCTATGTTGACTTACGATTTGGGTATGTCGATCCCAAATGGGGTGGGTTCACGATTTAGATCATCAAAATATACAATCCTAAATTGTAATACTAACCATAAATCTATTCATTTTAGAACATGTAGCACAAGTATAAAGGACATATTAATTGACTATGTGTATATGGATTTATAATTATAATAGAAAATTGAGTATAAATGTAAGATGTTCTAACTGACGTAGTGTTTATGATGTTCTATGATATTTAATGTTGTATAGGAGTGAAAATGATTTAAATAAGAGTTTCAAAACGAATTACGACCCAAAATAGTGTACCAGCTAAGCCTATTCCCATCATACCGTATACCTAAGAACATGTCGTATCGTGAACTCGTACCACGTACCAATGCGACTGAGGATCCAAGTAACATTAGTTGGACTACTAAATAGAAGAATTCTTCCCTAATGCACGATATAGAAAATTGGATTAATGTTGAGGTAGCATTATTAAAATTATTTGATGCAATTAAGGGCACCTGAATGATTAAAGAGAATGAGGGTAGCATTTCGATTGATGTATTGTGGGCCTACGAGTTAATAGTTTCTTTGTGACCCTTAAATATATATTTGTAAATGTGACAGGGAGTTTCATAGTCACTATTTCCAATGATTTCAGTTGCAATGTGTCTCGTCTATTGTAGAAGAGGGATATACAGCTTGTAACTTGATGATAGTTGTCTCTCCTTCACCATAAGGCTTGCCAGAGGTGCTAATGGACAGAGTTGCAAAGTGTGTCTCTCTCGCAACTTCTGTTCTTGTGCTAGTTCTGATTGGTTATAGTCTTATGCATTTTGTTGTTGTACATAGAGGCTGATCCAGGAAAATAGGTATGATTAGGTGCAAATTTGATATCCAAAATACAGCTGTTTAATTTGTTGTTTATGCCACTTTACTATAAGTCAATTCTTTTGTAGTTTGTACTAACTGTTATTTGTCACTAATGAGACCTTGTATTCAATCTCAATGCTAGGTTGAGCCAAAGCGCAGAAAGAGATGACCACTGGTGCTGATGTATAATAGGAGGTACTAATTTTGTTGCATATTAGCTCCAGTATTGTTGTGTTGTGGAAATATACAGTGCAGAGAAGATACTGTGCCTTCACAAGCCGGAGGCTTTTGTTAATTGCACAAGTGTCTGTGTGTAAGCTAGACTAGAGGATGAGTATGATATGTGATGTCTGTGTGTGACTTCAATATTAGCCATTCTAAAAAAAATGGAATTTGTGTTTTATCTTGAGTGCAGTCTCTGCAAACCATGTCAAACTAATTATTGAGAAAACAGTCATGAAACAGTGGTGATTTTCTTTATTTCTTGTTAACACTGCATTCTTATAGTGTGACAGCTCCATTGCTGTCTTCTTTCTTCTTATCTGTTTTCCTTGAAGAAAGGAGGGAGGGATAGGAGGGGGTAAATGTTCTATTCAAACTGAATGACATCTTGCAATGATGAGAATTGCATGAGCTAATCAAGAGTTGGATGCAGCTTTGGATTATGTCCGATTTGTGAGATTGGATTCTTATCTTTTTTTTTTCTTTTTTCCGAACTTATCCTGTGTTTGGAGGTTCTTGAATATCAACAGGATTATATTGTAGAGTAAAACTCGGTAGATGATCTAATGGCAGATTACTGGATTGGACTACTTGTTAGGTTTCTTGAAAACCTGGTGCAGTAGCAGAACTTCACCCAAACCCATCCTTCGATTTGGCCTGATGGGGTGGGTTCAAGTAAGCCAACCTTGTAAATTGTCCATCAGCTGACATTAGTTTCTTAACTCCATATCATTCTCAAGTTCTGTTCTGTCCGATAAGATCAACTAACCTTCCACTGTTTAGTGTGGACATTGTTCTTAATATAGTCTCTGAAAGATTCATGTAGAGCTAGCTAACCACTCTGTTTTTGTTCGGGTTTGATGTTGCAGTTTTCTCATCGTTTGTCAATGTTATGATATACGACCAAGTTGCATTTATACTTTTAATTGGTAATGTTGAGGTTAAGTTTTGGTTAATCAAAGCAGGGGCCATGGCGTGCTACACTTCTTTGTATGGTCATTTCATGGCATTTTCATGATTCAATTTCCGTCGCTCTGCTAAAAGTTGGTTTTAGTAGCATTGTTGTGTGATGTTTGGGGTGTGTCTCTTCAACATTGATGTTATGTACAATGAGCTATCCTGTCATTTCAGTTTCATTTAGAAAGGAAAGAGGCAAAGTGTAGTGGGCAATTTGGCACATTTGCCCGTTAGTTGGGATCACCTCCTGGCTCTGTCCAAAATCTGAGTTATTGACCCGTTATCTTGAAGTTCTGAATTGCTGAATGCGGTCATATTCATTACTGTGGGAATTGGGTTCAAGGTTTCTGCAGCCCCTTCTTATCAATAGACTCCTGATCAGCATTGTCCATTGACCATGAAGGAATTGAACGAGGAGCCTTGTGAGGAGACACGGGACATAGTGGCTTTGATGACGCACATTGTTGGACAATTTATCTGCATAAACACAGAATTTTCTTATATTGATGCTCTCTAATCTGCAATTTGACGAGTGACTTAAAAAGAATTGAACGATTAGTTGTGTGAGTAGTTGTATGAGGTGAAAATCTCATATAACGTGATTGGGTTGACAATTTGCAGATTAGAGAGCATAGATATAGGCAAAATCTGGTGTACCTGTTGGTTTTGATGTCGACTTTTTTATTTTTATTTTTATTTTTTGGGATTCCAATGACACTAATGAGGGACACCGGCAACAATTTGCGAGCATAGTGGCTTAGACAAAGAAGCACACTGTTGGGCAATAACTGTCTAGATGCTGCAAAAACCACATTAATAGATGCACTTCATCGTCCAAAGAACATGAGAATATCAAGTTGAAACTTTTCTATTTTTTGAGTTCAATATTTGACAGTTTCTTTGAGGTTAAACTTCGAAAGATTGAAATTTTTTAGCAGATTTATCTCTCATCAATTCTCTAGTTTTGGTGTAAATGATTGGTTTATAATTATATCGAAGAGAAAATTAGTTGAGGTGTACATAAATTTGTTCGAACATTTTTAACCGTAATATATAAAAAAAGAAAGAAAGAAGGAACTTTTCTCTCCTCACTACAAAAGGGAAAAAGAAAGAACGACCCAAACTTAGCATTTATCAAGTATCCAATATTTTTACCAAGGAAAAAGTATTGGAAGTTTTTGTTTGGTTCCCAAACAATTACACAAATATTCAAGCGTTTTTTCCTCAAGTTTGTAATATATATATATATTATTGGAAAAATTATACTCACAAGCCTTCGAGTTTACTAAAATTATAGATAGGACCCGTATGGTTTTTGGGTTCAAATTACACTAAAACCCCATTCTTCAATCTTTCCTCCAATATAACCCCCACTCCAAGGTTTGGCGATGGATCGGATTTGGGTCCATCCGAATCTGAATCTTATTAAAAAATCTATTATTGAATCCATTTGTTTACTCGATGAATATAAAAAATATTAGTCTATATTCGAATCAAATTATAATTGAATATCTAGATCGATTACCTCATCTGTAATGGTATTTCACCAAAATAATCAATATACATATATTTGTATATTTTATGTAGTATAAGCCGACATATATATATATATATATATATATATATATATATATATATATATATATATATATATATATATATATATATATATATATATATATATATATATATATATATATATATATATATATACTAGTTATTGCCTGTTTTTGAAGGTACAAAATAATAAAAAATGATAAATAATAAATATATTTGTATTTATATTCAAAATTAAATCACAAATATAGATGAGAGATAAATAAATTTAAGCATCGGTTGTAGTGGGGGCGACGACGACAGTGGTGGTGGTGGTGGTGCTATTTCAAACACTATTTTTTTTAAAGTATTCATAATAAATAATTTCTAAAAATACATTTAAAAAGTCACTCCAAATACACCCTTAGGACCTTATTTTGCCTATTAAATTTACGGTGTTAATATTAGCCGTTAGATTAATTTTAAAGTAAAATTTAAAACGATCTGAACTGTGAAAAATAAAAGTCATTTTGTTTATTTTTTAAAATTTGAATTATAAGCTACTTTATTATATATATAAAATAAATGGATCAAAATTTTATTAAATTAAATTTAGATAAATGTATGAAAATATTGATTAATATCCAATTAAATAGATTTGAATTAAGATTCAGTCAATTGACAAGCCTCCCACTAAGAGCAACTCCAACGCTGCTGGCTATTCCTTTTTTTTTTTGTTGCTATTTTGGCGAGTAACACCCCAAAATTCAACTCCAAACCACTAGCCATACACCTCGCCAAATTTTAGGAAGCCAAATTTGCTCACAAGATCTGAAGAGGAGAAATTGCTCGCCACTCGCTGCTATTCCTTCCTGTTGCTTCTTGTTGTTGCGTATAGAAGTTCTTCAATTGTGAACCAAGTATTCATCTCCCCCTCCTCTTGCTGTTCATTGTTGTTGCTGGCTGTTGGTAGTGATCTCGCCTTTATTTTCATCGTCTTCTCCAAGAGTTAGTCTAGGTAATCTTCTTTTTCTCCCACTCCTCAAAGTGCAAATCCCTTCCCCTAATTTCGCAACTCACCTTCCCCTGCCTCTCCCAAAACCATTCTGAAAACCTTTTTACCCAATTTTGAAAAATCCCCTTCTCTATAACCAAAATTTTGAAAACCCCCTCTCTAACCAAATTTTGAAACCTCTCCCAAATATAGAAAATTCCATTGTAGAATGAAATATTTAATTTTAGACCCTATCAAATATTAATGCAAATATTTGTGAAAAATTTTAAATTATATTATTAGGTTATGAGGTTTTTTTGAATTATATTATTGAAAATTAGTTAAAATAGAGAGTGTGATTGAATTTTAAAAAAAAAATTAATTAAAGTAAAAAATATAATATTTAAATATATTTTGACTAAACATTTTATTGAGGAGGGTTAGACTTACTCTAACAACACTCCATGAAGCAGCACCATCCGCAAATGGCTATTATACTCACAGCCCTCTGAGTTTACTCAAATTACTGACAGTACCCTTATATTTCTGATTTAAAATTACACTATAACCTCTTTCTTCAATATTTCCTCCAATATCCACCCCTACACCACCCTCCATGTTCCATAGAGCAGCCGCAGCCAAAGGCCAGAAAGAGAGAGACGGGGTGCCTTCACTTTTATAAGGCCACATAATTTTATATTAGGGCAAAATTCAATTTATCTCCTTGTGATTTGGATATTTTGCATATAATTCCCCTATGATTTAGAAATAAGCACATTATCCCCTTATATTTTTGGACTGATTTGCACAATTAACACCGCAAACAGTAGTGGTAAAATGACTTTAATACCTTCAACTGTTCATCATCTTCTTCCTCCCTCTCAACTGTAGCCGAATTTTCTGAAAAATCAACCAAACACCCAACTTTATAAGTTTTTCTCTTTCGTTACAAAGTACCAAACTTTCTCAAACCAATGTCAATATCCTCTACTCTAAACCTAGTTTTAAACCCCACGGACTTGTTTCCTTAAATAGCCCTCAAGACCCACGAATTTCAGCTCAAAGATGATCACAAACTCATTTTGACAAGTTATGTATACACTAGATTTTTTTCAACATTTGAGCCAACTTTGACCTTTAATTTCTCACTCGTTTCTCAACCTTTTTGGGTGATTCAAATGCCTAAATTTAACTTCTTTCTACCCTCTTTCCAACCATGCATTTAGTTTGTCCAAATCATGCACAAGGTAAGAGGAAATAGAGCTCCAAAGTGATGGGTTTATCATTTTAAAAATTGTCACAATTTTTAATTCAAATTTTCACCTACTAAACCTCATTCTTTCTTGATTCTAACTTCAAAAATGGATTCCTTGACCCTAAAAATGGTGGATTAGGCCCCCTTCACCTCCAAAACTCAAAATTTTGAATACCCAAAAATTCAAGTTTCAAGTTTAAACAAGAGTTTTGATTTTTTCTCACTATACACCACGGCCACTAAAGAAACTTTAGAAAATTGTTATTGAATACGAAAACAAGCTTACCCTATCACAGAATTATGGATGATGCCTTGTAGTAAAAGTTCTCTTTGCAATTAACAGCTCAACACTCATCTCAAAACTCATTTGAAAACCATTTGTAATTTTGCATTTGAAGTTTCTGATAGAAACTCATACCCAAAACTAAGTGTGAATATATGAAAATTCAATGGTGAGTATGTTTTAAAAGGTTATTGAGGTAGTCAACATATTTGAAGAAAGCGTCTTTCATGGAAGAGGACTCAGTGGTCACTGTTCTTGGCTTCTTTGTTGCGCTTTGTGAGAGAAAGAGAGAGATTACGTTGACGAAGGCGCTGCGGTTTGAAAGTCATGAGGATGAGCTTGTGGAAGGCAGATGAGTATAACATCTGTTAATATAGGACCATTTTTGACATTTGAGTATATTTATTTTAGAGAGAAGTTGATAACTTTGTTGATCAATTGTCAAACCAGCGTCCTCTCCACTTCCGTCTATTCTAACGAAAAATCTAACAGTTGCAGTTTAGTCCATAACTATAGGGGAGTGAAGTGCTTATTTTCAAATGATAGGGGGTCATTTGTTCAAGGTACAAACCACGAGAGGATAAATTGAAATTTGCCCCTTATATTATTTCATTTTTTTCGCGTAATCTCTCTCTCTCTCCATCCAAAAGTATTTTCTCTCTCTATTGAAAAAAAATCAAATCCCAAGAATCCCTGAGTTCCATTTCTAGGGGTTTTATCGCATCTCTCTATGCATAGATCCTCAATCACACCCGTTAATGTTCTCTCTTTCCTCCATATCTCTTCACACCTCCATCTATACCTCCGATTCGACCACAAATTATTCGATTTCGAAGCCATTCCCACCAATTCGATTCTTCGAATTTGATGCCATTTGATGCACAGAGTCTTTATTAATTGATATGTTGGCCCAAGGTACGAGCTTGTGATTAAGCCTTTTTCTGCTATGTGTAATTGTATTTTCACCATCCAGGGCTTATCTTCATGAATTTTGGAGAATGTATGTGTTTTAGGGCTGTTCGAGGTTAGAGGGTTATACATAGGGTTTGGGTTTTGTGGATATGATAAAACAGATACTGGGTAAGCTTCCTCGGAAGCCATCCTCTAAATCGTCAGGCAATGAAACAAACAATGAGGGTCCATTGTCATCAATGAATTCATCAAATTTGAATTCCGCTGTTGGTCTTAATGGTAACTCAAGAACCATTCAATCTTCCGGAAAATCTTCGAATTTGGGATCGGGTGTGTCGCGGTCGAGTAATGGAACTTACAACCTACACTCATCTAGCGCGATTAAATCGATGCAAGGGAAAAACTCAGGTACGATGAATACCCAAGTGAGCCCGCTGTTGAATTCTGCTACCTATGAAGCTTTGCCAAGCTTCCGAGATGTACCCAGCTCGGAAAAGCATAGTCTTTTCATTAGGAAGTTGAATATGTGTTGCGTTGTGTTCGATTTTAGTGACCCCACAAAGAATTTGAAAGAGAAGGATGTGAAAAGACAGACTTTGCTTGAGCTTGTTGATTATATTACTTCAGTGACTTCGAAGTTCAATGAGGTTACAATGCAAGAACTCACCAAAATGGTAGCGGCAAATCTGTTTAGAACTTTGCCGTCTTCTAATCCTGACAATAAATTACCGGATCTGTATGACGCGGAAGACGAGGAACCGACTATGGAGCCTTCATATCCTCATCTTCAGATTGTGTACGAATTGCTTCTCAGATTCGTGGCTTCTTCTGAGATTGATGCTAAGCTTGCTAAAAGATACATTGACCATTCTTTTGTGTTGAGATTGCTAGACCTGTTTGATTCAGAAGATCAAAGAGAGAGGGAGTACCTAAAGACAATTCTGCATCGCATTTATGGGAAGTTTATGGTGCATCGGCCATTCATTAGAAAAGCCATCAATAACATCTTCTACCATTTTATGTTTGAGACAGAGAAGCACAATGGGATAGCAGAGTTGCTTGAGATATTAGGTAGTATAATTAATGGGTTTGCCTTGCCTTTGAAGGAAGAACACAAGCTTTTTCTTGTACGCGCTTTGATTCCCCTCCACAAGCCTAAGTGTGTATCCATGTATCATCAACAACTTTCATATTGCATCACTCAGTTTGTGGAGAAAGACTGCAAGCTGGCTGACACAGTGATCCGAGGTCTTCTAAAGTATTGGCCCATAACTAATAGTTCAAAGGAGGTCATGTTCCTTGGTGAGTTGGAGGAAGTTTTGGAAGCAACCCAAGCTGCAGAGTTTCTGCGCTGCATGGTTCCTCTGTTCCGTCAAATTGGTCGCTGCCTCAACAGCTCACATTTTCAGGTACTGCATTTAGATTGATTTCCCTATCTTTGCCGCCTTCTTTTTTCACCATCTTATTGGCCCATAGATCACAGTTAGTAGCAGTCACCTACTCATCTATATGTTCTCTCCTTTGTTTTGTTTTGTTTTTCAATTTGATTTGACGTTTTGCCAAAAAAAATTTCTATGTATAGGTGGACATGTGGTTTATTTTTCTTTATATCTCACCATCCCTTATATTATCATAGTTAGCCCCCATTTTCTTTACATCCAATCACAAACCAGACAAAAGGTGCCCCTTTATCTTGGGATTGACCCATCACAGAGACGCTACAAAGAAACTGTGATGAACTCACTGTTTTGTGACTGCCCATCTTTCATTGTGTTGCAATGTTTTCGTTTTAGATCAAATGCATTATGGGATAATGCTTTCTCCTTCTTTTTTGTAGAAATTCCTTTCAAGAACTTCGTGAGTACATATGTGTAGTACTTTAGCAATTTGGACAGTTCAGTTGGAGAAGTAATGTTTTTTCAGGAAGTGCAACCCTTCTCTAACTCCCCCTGTCTTCTTGTAGTCTGTGGATTGATTGAAATGAGCATGCTATATGTTTTTAGAAGCTCATACAATATTTGTTCGACGACAAACTAAGATAAAAACCTTCATTAAGAGGACATTATTCAGTTTGATCCCATTGATTGAGGCGCTGGAAGGAGTTTAGCAGGCATTATTTTGGCTTAACATGCTTATAGTTGTTATCAAAGGATTTGAACCCAACCTTTGGGTTATTAGTCCAAGCATTTTACCATCACATGACCAATGACCGCAGTTAGGCAAAAACCTACATTCACTTGCCATTTTTCTCATTATGCCATCTAATTGAGATAATTTGCATGTAAGACTCTACCCCAAGCAGACTATAGTTTGCCTGTTATTTGAGTTTACATGCTTGATCATGGATGGAGTCTTGTTGGCTGGACATCTCTATATTTGTGAAATGGATACATGCACATCATAATATATATGTTTTTTTTTTGTATTGGATGCCATGATACTTGGTTTTTGGCTCAACACTTTCCATTAGGCAGAGTCATAGAATATTTATTTTGCTATATAATGTATTGTGCTCACTTAGGGTTCTTAGCGAGATAACATGACCTAAATGAACTTAGGACATAGTTGTTGGTACATATGTGTAGTGAAGATGTGCTGCAAATTATTTTATAATGGTTGTTTCAACTTTTGGAAAGTGATAAAGAACAAAACAATTTCTTAGTCTTGCGAAGCATACCTTTTTTTTTTCATTTCTTTTTTGTGTATTCATTTGGGTTGGATTTTGAAATCCTTGTTAGACCAATTGATTAGTCTCCTGCAAGGCTTTCATAAAAGAAGCAATTTTGGTGACGACATCATGCCTTGGCTAAGAAGCATAGATAAAAATATGAGACACGAACATGACTCGGCATAGATATTGCTGACAGAATTTTTCCAAAAGAAAGATATGGAGACTGCAAGGGTATACATATAATATCTCACAAATATAGTCAAGTACAACATTGATCTATTATTCAAAGTTTCAAACACTACTGAAGTTCACACTATTATTACGAGATCAACACAACAAAATCATAAAATCAACTTTGAAAGAGAAAGATTTTAAGGAAAAGGAATATATATTTTTGGCATGATGGATATATCATTGGCAATCTCTTGAGGTTGCTAGAAGGTGACAAATGTTATTAGACATCATGTTTGTGGGAGATAACATTTTTAGTTTGCTCCTTCTCTTTGCCTCTTCCAATTTTTTTTTTTTTAATGTGGTAGTTTTTTTCTCCTAATGTTTAATGATCCCTAATCTTTGTGCACCCCCCGGTCCCCTCCCCCCGCCCCCCAAAAAAAAATGTGTCCTGATCAGAAAACTATTTTGGAAACCTTTTCATGTTTTGGACATGTGTCCTAGCTTGTCTGACCCAGACATGTTTGACAGTAATGCACAGGCCTAGGAGAGGTGTTCATACTTCAAAAGGCCTTTGATATGTGTTTGCTTTGAGTGTCCCTGGTAACACGGTGTCTCCTAATTTTTGCTTGTTTGAATAAGGAAGACAAATATATGCAAATGCTATAGGTTTTTCCTGTTCTCGCTACCTATTAACGTTTTCTTGGATGTTGTGGAGGTGGTTGTTGATTTATTAATTCGGACTCTCTCTCTTTCTCTCTCACACACACTTGGTCCATTAATTGAGGGTGCTAGGCTGGGTGGATGGAGTACAAACGTGTCCTTTGTTCTTATTCTGTACAAAGTGGTTACTCTTAGATTCGTACCCACAACCATGAGGAGGTTGGCTCAACCTTTTACCCCTGCACCTGTAGCTCCCACTTCAGGTTTATATTTCCATGACGATTGACGAATGTTTCTTTCTGGCAGGTAGCAGAACGTGCTTTGTTCCTGTGGAACAACGATCATATAAGGAATCTGATCACTCAGAACCGTAAGGTGATCCTGCCCATAATTTTCCCAGCCTTGGAGGAAAACACCCAGAGTCACTGGAACCAAGCCGTGCAGAGTCTGACGTTGAATGTGAGGAAGACATTTTCAGATGCTGATCAAACACTTTTTGACGAGTGTCTAGTGAGATTTCAAGAAGATCAAATCAAGGAGAAGGAGATCCAGGAGAAGCGGGAATCAACCTGGAGGCGTTTGGAAGAAGTGGCAGCCTCTAAAGCTGTTAGCAATGAGGCTGTGCTTGTCTCTAGGTTCGCCTCTTCTGTTGCCATTGCTACCAACACAAATTCGCAATCATCTGTGGGCAGTTGAAGAGATCATGTGATGCAAATTTTAAAATTATGATCCTCAGCCTAGTGGTGGCCATACAAGGTGAGCACAAAGGGGTAAACCTCGGGACTGGTTGTCACCCACATTTCTGAATTCTGACAACTTTGCCGGTTGAACCTGAAAGGTGAAGTGTTTTGTGGATATCTTGATCGCCCTTATTTTCTTTTCTCTTATTTTTCTTGGGTTATGGCTTATTGCTTTTTTTTTTGTCACAGCCATGGAGGTGTGCTTTTCATAAACAAACTTGTTTTATAGAGATAGTCTATTCAGATTTCTTCCCAATATCGTTATATTGTATAATGTTTATTTATCCATTTGTGCTTGAGCACTGTCGTTCATTCTTTTTTCCTGGGAAACCTATTAGTACAAATCTTTAGTCATATAACCTATATAGAGTGGTGGTGCACAGGTGGGTGGTGGTTGTATACGGGCCATAACCCAACCTATGTGGAGTACTGTGAGGTTTTCCGGAACATCATGACAATATATGGGGAAGAAAGGAGAGTTTCTTGATATTGTTTTGTAGTAAACTGAGTGGTAGTAGTAGTAGTGGTAGCGGCAAAACGATTATACCATATGTTAGAGCGTATGGGCCCATGATCACGCCGAATTATGTTTGGAGGAGGGCAAGTTTCATTTTGTGCACTATTAGGCGTAGATAAACGAGCAAGAAGAACACTTCTATCATTGGAAAGAATGTTCATAGCTATTAAGCCATGACGTGTTTCATCTTGCAACACAAGAGAGTATGCCTTAACCAATTTATGGAAGAGGATCCATTAGAAGGATTCGACTATGGAGAGATGCATTAGTGTTGTGGGGGAGCCATGAGAAATTGTATCAATTGTTGTTGATAAAGATAGTTGTTTTTATATTTCATTGCATCACATGAGCAAGAAGGCGATGAGATATAAGAGTTCATTCTAAAATCTCTCAAGTTTGTAGAAATAGACAGCCACAAAATCATTTCCTTGTTGTCGAGTAGCAATAGAAGGACACAAGTGAAAGATACAAGGTGCATTGCTAGGAGAAAAATGATGACGAAGATCGTTCCATACAACAATAGAAAATTCCCCATAAATAATAGTAGGAGCAAGGTCTTTGTGAAGGAAATTAAGCTACTAAGAGAGTACCATGTTGTTGACTCACTTCCATGTAGGAAAAGCGCACCATTATCAACAGATTTTGGGGTGAAAATATTCTATGCTTACAAGATATTATGCTTACAAGATACTAGCGTGTCACACTTATTTGGTGCTCTCATCACCAATTGGAAATGGCCATTTCAATTGAATGACAGACAATGTCAGAAAATGTCAAATCAGTCAAATTAACTGATGTGGTTGACAAAATAACATTTTTCGTCTTCTTTCTCCTTTATTTGTGTTTTTTGTTAACTGCATGCCAGTCACCTCAGTCATTCACCTTATTAATTACTGCCTGTTTCTCTAAAAAATTTTCTCCTTATTTTTCAAATCTCTCTCTCTCTCTCTCAAAACCCATTATCTCTCTTCCTCCCTTGGTCCAGTTCTGCCATTTTTCTCTGGTATGCCATATTTTTCAACAAGGATGGTTGAATATACGAGTATCATTCTCCTTTGTCTTTTTTTAACTTGAGGTGCTGCTTTGGTGGTCGTTGTTTGCATGTGTGGTCTTTGTGTGTTTCTATTTGTGTGCTGCCTTTGTGGGTGTTGTGTGCATGTATGGACATTAGAGAGAGGGAAAGTGAAGTGCTTGAACTGGCAAATTGAGGGGCAGGAAATGGAGGTAGCCTGCCATATTTTCTCTTTCTGATTTGCATTTTTTCAGTGTCCATGGGACGTGTGTGGTGAGAGTCGTCATGGTGCATTTGGAGCTAAGGGAGCATAGGAAAGAGAAAATGAGTGATTTTTTCTTGCAATGATACTGTTTGAAGCTCAAGGGGTGATATGAGCCCAATTTTTAAGTCATTTAACAGATCTTCAAATTATTTATGAGTGATTTTTTCTTGCAATGATACTGTTTGAAGCTCAAGGGGTGATATGAGCCCAATTTTTAAGTCATTTAACAGATCTTCAAATTATTTTTACATATCTTCGAGTCATAATTTCATACAATTTGATTGACTTTTCGATTCACTCTTGCTTGACCGTAAATGTGGACTTTGTGGCTTCTAGCAGTGTGTACCCGTGCAAAACAATTGCAAATGAGAGAAGACAATAGTTTTTAGTTTTTAGTTTTTTTTTTTTTTGACCTTTTTGTTATTGATTTATATGCAAATGAGAAAACAATTGCATATAAACAAACTATTTTTTCTTAATATAAGAATAAAAACAAAGTCCACAATTAACATTGAATAAAGACCTCAATGCTGGGAAAAAAAAACACACATTGAGCAAAGACGCCTGCCATTACACGTTAAAGCCCAAACCAACAATAATGCCACACAACCTCAAGTCATGGCTTCCAAACAACTCTCAAGAAAACATCACTGCTGATAACTAGATCCTCTTCCTCCATTGAAGCACTAATGGCATTGCAACTCAAAACTCCAGCCACGAAGGACTATGTCGAACTCATCAAAATATGCATTGAAACTCACCTAAATATAATAGATAAAGGAATGAACCAGGAAGCACCAGCAATAAGAAAGAGGGAAAAGAATCATTGAAGAGAAGTTTTGTAAAACTGATGTTGGATTTCAGATAGACAAAAAACGAGAAACAAGAAATATTGATTATGCTATTTAACACTTTTATAGTAGAAAGTAGAAACTCAAATTCAAAATGAGAGGCGGGAGATTTAAATTTTGATTTAAAGAGATGAATGTCAGTTATTTTGGTTGACTTGACATGTTCTGACATTGTTTGTCATTGTATTGAAATGTCTATTTCTAATTGGTAATGAGCACCAAATAACCGTGCCACGCTAGTACTTTGTAAGTATAGAATATTTTCTCGATTTTGGGATTGCCATCCACATATCCTAATTTGTTTTTAGCAGAGTATCATTGTCATGTCACGCACTTTGTGACGTAATTGCCTCCGGTAAGTGGGCTTGAAATTAGCATAGTTTCGAGGTTATGAGAGTGATGTAAGTTGGACTTGTATCGCATGCATTGCTAAAAATGAATCCAAACATGGTGTAAGATAAGAAAAATCATTAAACTCTGCGTATCGAACCCATGGGGCTAGAATGAAAGGGAATGTACACTCTAACCCCATCCAACACACGTAAAAAGATATATACATATTTTATCCAATATTATATTACAATCGTAAAAGCTTAAAAATATGGATGCAACTAAATACTTGAACCAATCATGCCAGAAATTCAATGACTTTTCGGAGACCATCCCAAGTATAGGGATATTGTTCTGCCCATGACAGGTTTCCACGTGCCTTTAATGCTTCATGGGGCTACCATTCTTTCTCAATGACTTGATTACATCGGACTGTGGAGGAGTATTTATTCAAGCATGTAATTATTTGTGCACTCAAAATACACGCACGCAAATAAAGGCAGGTGGGTGTGGTAACCAGCAGTGTGTGCACTTACACATTTTTGGCAACTTATAAAATTACTGGTTATTATTTGTGTCGGAAGGCGCATAGTAATAAAAAATGATAAAAAATAAACATATTTGTATTCATATCTAAAATCAAATCACAAACATAAAAAAGAGATAAAAAAATTTAAGCATCGATTTGTAGTGAGGGTGAGAAGTGGTGAGGGCGGCAATGGAGGTGGTAGGAGAAAGTAATGGTTGTGGTGGGTGGTAATGACCGTGGTGACAGTGAGGGCGACGACGACGACGACGGCGGTGGTGATGGTGGGCGTGGAGGTGGTGGTAATGGCAATGGTGGCGGCGGGAGGGGTGATGTGGCGACGGCCGTTGTGATAGTGTTGACGGCGACAACGATGGTAATGACGGCGACAGTGACAGCGGCGGCAACCGCGGTGGGAGTGGCGGTGGCGGTGGTGACGACGGTTTCAAACATTTTTTTTTTAAAAATATTCATGATAAATAATTCTTAAAAGTACTTTTAAAAAATCACTCCAAACACACTCTTAGGAGCCTATTTTTCTTATTAAATTTAAGGTGTTAATATTAGCCGTTAGATTAACTTTAAAGTAAAATTTAATGCGATCTCAACCGCGAATAACAAAAATTATTTTGTTTATCTTTTAAGATTTGAATTATAAGTTATTTTATTATATAGATAACCAAACCACTCTTCTCTCTATTGCTCTCCTCTGAGTGGTCTATTTTGGGTATGAATGGGGTTGTTTATCGAGCCGAACTTTTTGATTTCTAGTTCATATGCAACAAGGAATGAGACTCCAATTCAGAATCTCCTGATTAGAAATAAAGTATCTTATCCACAAAGTTGCTTAATGCGCGACTTCATTATTTTTTTTTAGCACAAGAAAGAGTTATGCATTATGTCCGAGATGAATTTAGCTTGAGCCCACCAAGGTAAGTGGTATGTTGCTCGGGTGGAGCTTGAATATTAAACAGGATTCAAACCCTGATTATATTCGATTTCTATACTCTAATATTAAGAGCCAAACTCGAGCGACTCAATTTGTTCAAGTGCCTAAGACAGTGCATAAAACAGGCATGTGATGCAGCAGCTATTTTTGGATCACTTGCACTTAATTTTGGAGAGCATGAGCCCAACAGGACATTCATTTCTGAGCTGGGTGGTGCTATTAACTGCATGGTGGGTGTCTGAAGTAATGGGTATTGGGTCCATGAGATGACTCAAAATATTACTCTTTCCTGATGGATTACATAATTACTCAGCCTCACACAGGAATGTTAATCAAAAGAAAGGTCCAATGGCCGGTTGAAGTTGCAATCTATTTTCTTGACCTTCTTCTAGGATTAATTATTTTTTATCCCACAATTCAACACGAAGTTACTGGTCATAATTTATTCTTAACAAATTTGCATCATAATCGGTCATACTTTTTCGATAAATAAGCCTACACCAATGTGCTAATACACCACTACAAATGGGTCGAGCATGAATTGAATGAATTTTCACGGGATATAGATACGATATGAAACGATGCACTGTCAATCTTCTTTCCCTGTGCTCATTTTGATGATAACTTCCAAAATATGATCAATATAACATGCAGCACAAGGAAAATGATTCATCATATGATTCCATTCAACTCTAAATTACAAACAATAATACTATTGAAAACCTAATTTGCTGACCTAATCTATCACAACCATTGGATTATGCCAATAACATAGACTAGAAACCCAAATTCTGGATCAAATTTAACAGTAAAAATCATGTAGAAATCTTTGTAATGTTCTATAGTTTCAAATATGAAACTAGTTCATTTCATACTACAAAACCCACAACAATTTTTTACATAAACCAAGCTACAAGGAATCTAATTCAATATGTAGATCACACATCTACTTATATCTTCTTCACCTTTTGTACATAATCTCTCTTGGCTATTAAAAATTTATTTTCGAAAACAATCACTCCCACTATGATTTAAGATTGCGGACATCTGAATTTTTTTTCAAACCCGAACGGAAAACTTATGCACTAAACTGTAATTTAACAAATTTTCAGCTTAAAGTAAAATTGTCTATGACTTACTATATATAGCAAGAAGTGTGACATGTCACATATAGGAGAAGCGAGGCGACGGTGAAGATGAAGATGAAGAAGTCTTGTTTAGGTTCCAATACTATCGTCGCTTATTGTGCAGAGGGTTTGATCCTGTGGGAACTTTCCGTTTCTCCGACTTGAAATCTCTGGCAGCCGGAGCACTTACTGAAGATTGAAAAACTTGTTTGGTTCCGGTGAAATCGCCGGAAAATTCACTCCGACGAATGGCATGAACACTTAAAGTGCTGAAGAAGAGGAGAGAGGCAATGAAGAAACAGAGGTGAAAGCGATTCATATCTCAAGAATGAGAATGTGTTGGATGGATATGGAGGGAGGGAGGGAGGGAGGGAGAAAGAGAGAGACTAGAAAGGTGGTGGCTCTAGATGGCTCTTATATATGGACATGGTTGGTCCATGTCTTTGAGGGTTACTGTATACTATACTTATATCCCTTACCTTTATGTCTTGGTTATTTTTAGTGCCATGGGACCTTATTGTGTAGGGTAATGCTACTTTTTTTTTTTCTGTTCAAATTTGCATTCATTGCTTTTCGAGCTTTGAATTATTTACTGTAATTCGAGTTAATTTTAAAGACATGTCCCCTAAAAAATAAGAGTGGCTAACCCATATGGGATGCGAACCTCGAGACATTTTGCTTGCAAGTGGTAGACTTAACTACTGGATTACCTTTAAAGGTTATAGAATAATGTTATTTACATGCAAAAATTTAATTTAATTTATTGACATAATGATGTAATTTTATTGAAACCGTTGGATTAATACTAAATTTCAATATTTGATGAGACGTATAGTCAATCTAAAGACTATAGTAAATTTGGTCAATAAATTATGTTCCAATAATATTACTCTATTATGTTTCATTATCGAATAAAAAATATTTTGATGTAATTAGTGAATATTCAACTATGATTGAATTATTCGGATTAATCGAATTCTTGGATCATATTTTTATTTTCATGAATTCGAATGTGAATAATGAAAATAAAATCACTCGGGTATTTGAATATGATATTTCAAGTTAGGCATGAATGTAAATCAACTAAAATCTAATCCAAATTTGATCTAATAAATAGGCTTATTGGTTACTAAAGAGTCTTATATTTTCGTTTTTTGAATAATAAAAACTTGACTCGTTAATGTATTCCTTAGGTCCGTGATTACAATGTAAATTTACATATTCCCATTAGACTGACCAAAAAATTAAAATAGATTAAATACTTTGAAATTGAAATTCTTAAAATTTTTTTCATCCAAAATATCAAGATAAGTTATAATCTTGTTTATACGCGTTGATACCATCACATGAGGATGAGGATGAAACATTGTGATGAAAAATTTGTGACATTTCGGTCAAAGATGGGATAATTGGCCCAGAGAGACGGTTGAGGGGGGTGGGGGTGGGGATGGTGGTGGTGGTGGCGGCGGTGGTGGAGATCACAATTCAATGGGGACGGTGACGTTAAGCTTTGAAAACAAAAGCCATTTACGTGTAGACTTGGAGGAGAAAGTGAACGCTTAGCTGGAACTTTGAATTTTTCGAATGACCGAAACTGCTCTTTGACTTTCACACTTTAATATAAAATGTTGCCAATATATACAATCATCATATACATGACGGTGACAAATAAGAGGGATATTTTAGCCATTAAAAAAAGTCAAAGTAAGATGCCGACATACTTGATTAGTCTAGTTGAAACAAGAAAAAAACATAATATGTTTAATGGCACACGTTTTCTGCAATTACTTTAATCATATAGAGTTGAGATACAAAGGTCTTAGAATTATTATTTCGTGTTACCATGTTTTATATTTGCACAAAATACTATGATTAGTCTGATACATATGATACGCATACGATGTAGTTATAAATTTTTAGAATATGCGTTTTGAAACAATTTTTATTTTCTAAAAAAAGGGATCATTGTCTAATACAATACTAAAAGTGATAGAGGATCACAACTAAATTGAAAGATTTGTAGAACTTTTTTCTCTCGGTAACCCTCAATAATACATATGAAATTTTTTTGTATAGGAATAATTCTTGTCATTGTCATTTTTTTTTTCTTTTTCTTGGTGATGAGACGCCTCTCTAAGATAAATTAAATTACATTGGAAACACCTCGGAAGAGTAAATTCTCGATACTTACAAACACCTGTTAACTATTGATATTGGTTAAATCTAACTTTTTATCTCGTCCACGAGCATCCCATGTGCATGGGATTTTAGTATTAGAATTTCTCACCCCCTTATTTATGACATTTCTAAGTCAATTTTTCACCAACTATGCTACAATTACTTTGGCGATTTCAAAGTTTTGATCCTACTTTGTTTTGGTTATGACTCACTAATCACCCCAATTTTCTTATCACATTTTGAGGAATTCGATACCTTAAGTGGTAACAAAGACGAGTTATAAATCTAAAAATCTTAAATTTTAATTTTAATAATCCTTTGGAGTTAGGTCATGAGAGATTTTTTCCTCATGTATAATACCCTAATTCCGGTGTGCGCATAAATTAATTTGAATACCATTGACCGTCGAAAAAAAGAAAAAGAAAGGAGAACCCAAAAAACTTCTTCAATACATTGCCATCCTCACTTTATTTAATTCAAGCATTCATACCAATTTTTGAATTTTCAAGAGGAATCAGAGACTCCTAAAACAGGATCAAACACAATTATTACCAACTTAGAAGAAAAATATGGCCAAGAAATCTTTATCCTTGACTTGAAAAAAAAAAAGCAACTCCTGACAAAGAGGCACATTATAAATTATAATTACATTGGTGACAAATGATCAACAAAGTGAATGATAACTAAAGTTAGGCATTATTCATTCACTATAAATAACATCACAAGAGGTTAAGGAATAACTTTCTAGGTGGTACGACTAGTTAACCTCTCCGTTGTTATCTCGATAATTATGCTCTGTTTGGTAAGAAAGGTAAAAAATAAGAGAGATACATTTTTTATCCTTCAAGAAAAGAAAGTAGAAATAATACACTTTCTTTCATTTGTATTTGGTTGTATGGATGAAAAAAAAAATGACTAATTTTTTTTTTTTGTGTTGATTAAGATTAGGAGTAACAATCAAGTCGCGTCAGATTCGAGTTGAGTCAGGTCATTTTTAAGTTCGCGTGTCAGGTCATTTGCAAGTTCATGTCAAGATATAATCAAGTTCATGTCATAAAATTCGTATTGAATTCAAATCGTGTTATCTTGTCGAGTCGAAAATTTTCATCCCTAACTAAGATGAAAAAAATATATTTTTAATTTTAATTTTTTTTTGTTGTTAAATTTATTTTTAAAATTTTTTAAAAAATATGTGCATACATATTTTATCATTATATTTTTATATAAAATTAATGTACACATAATATATAGACAAATAAGATGTATTTCAACACAAATAATTAACTTTCAATTCACTTTCCTTCCGATTTTGAAGGGATTGATTTTGGTGAGTTGGAAGGAAAGTTAATCCATCTACTTTTTCATTCTTCCTATTTTCCTTCCTTATCAAATATGATGTTTTATTTATCCATCCAACTTTTCATTCTTCCAACTTTCTATCTTTTCATTTTTCTATCATACCAAATAGAGCATTAGGAATATAAATGGTCCGTTTCATGTTAGGTTCTTCTTGTGTGTATGTTGTGTCACATTAAAATTCGCTCAACTTATTTCTAGGACTGATAATGGAGCTGAATTACTCGGACTCGACTAGTTTTGGACTCATTTTGTTTTCCAATAGACCAGTAAAATAGTAGTAGCCACAGATCAATAAGGTCAAAATGTAATATGAGTTTATGTAGCTATTGGTCAAAAACCAAATTCTGTGGCTCGGTGTTGTTTATTAGTAATCAATAACATAGTTAAGAAAAAAGAGTTATTCGAAAATTTTTATTCTTTCTATAAGTAGATCTTATTAGAAAAATAAACCTAAAAGGCATGACTCGAGTTTGCAAAGCTTAACTCGTTTAAATGTAAAATAATCAAGTTACTCGAGCTTTACTCGAATTCAGTTCGTTTTGGGATCGGCTCTTTTGGAAAATGAAACAAGCTTGAACAAATGTTTAGCCCCGTTTTGAAAAATGAGCTCAATAGACCCTATTTGAATTCATAAAACTCGGCTTAATTATCAGCTATACTTATCTCTTTAAGTTATTTGTAGTTGACTTCGTATTATGTCAGATTAACTTGTGACAATTTATCAATTGGGTTCAAATAATTAATTTGTTTTCGGTCAAAATTTATTAAAGCTAAACTCACGTTTAATCGATTTTGTGTCGGACTAAAAGATTTTGTGAATAATTGCCAATATTACCGACACGTTAGGTCAAGGGATGATTTTATTCATGGTATGACATAAGTTGGGATGATTATTTTGTAATCCAAAAGGAAAGTTCGTCAATTGTGGGCACTAATTGTCTGCCCACTTTTATTCATTCCCTTTTGAAGTCTTAGTTCGTAAGCTCAATCATAATACCACCGACTCTTAAGGACTATTATTGTGAAGCATAGTACTAAGGTTATAAATATCTTGGTTTAATGCCATTAATTGGAGACCGTAGCCCTTCATCATGGCCATTCAATATTTCATGCCCCACAATTTGATGGCATATCCTCTCTCTCTCTCTCTCTCTCTCTCTCTCTCACACACACACACACACAAAGTGTCATACAGTTGCTCTCTTTCTCAGATTTAGATCTTTTTCATTACCTCTTCTCTTTAATATTCTCTAATAACAGTGTTAGATGAGTGATACATATAAAATTTTAATTGTAATAAACAAAATATTTTCTTATTCATTTGTTAGTTGTGGTGTGTTAACAATGGTTAAATAATTTTTTGATAAGAAAAAATCTTGTTCATTGAAATTAAAATCTTACACATGTCATTTATTCAACACTGTATTGGAGGGTATTGAAGAAAAGAGACAATGGAAGGGATCTAAATCCGATCGGGGGTTGTGAAACGAACCAAGTGACTCAGGCTCATTTCAGTTTTGGTTCATTCGTATTATTAAACCAAAGAAATATTCTCAAAATAGATTACAAGTTTGTCTTCTAATCAAGAGATTGATTGCGTTTTCAAGATTCATTTGATTTACTCGAGTCTGAGCTCGAATTTGAGCTCATAGCATATCAATAACAATTAAGAACTTGATGAGACGATTTGAAAATTGAACAAAATTGAATACATTAAAACTCAAAATAGTCGGTTTGATTAATACACCCACCCCAAAAACCATCCACAGACTTGCAAAGGAGTAATGCTAGAGTGATTAAATTTTGGGATCAAATTTAGAGTTCAAATGACATGACAATTGATTATTTGAGATTTTTATTGAGACCCAAATTACATGACACCATTCAAAGAAGCCCAAGTCAACTCCTATGTCATTTAGGCTCCAAATTTAATCATAAAATTTGATCAATCTAGCATTACTCCTTGCATAGACATTCGTGAGGGTACATGATATTAAATGCACTAGCGATTAGGTTAGTGTCACGTTGAGACAATGGTACATCATTGGAACACAATTAGGCTTGAATGACTACCATTTTGAAAGCACTTTTTTGAGGTGAAACCCTTCAGCTTCAGAAGTCCAATAGAATATCAAAACATAAATGATTATGATCGCTTTGAGATTTGCCGGCAGCCAATTTATATTACGATAAATATCTCCAAGTTCTAAGCTATCTTTTGGTATTTTTTTATTAAATAACTTTTTTAAAAAAAAAAAATACTTTCATCAAAAAATAAAAAATATATCAAAACATAACATTAACATATTATATATATATATATATATATATATATATATATATATATATATATATATATCCTTAAAATCAAGAATTTTGAAGCAGGTAAAGACCCGCCCGTTGTTTCAATCAGAATGAATCCCCAGGACCCGGAAAATTGGCTTATGCCAACAGTGAACTAGTCTGACTATTCATTGCAGTCTATTTAGGTCCGATTCGGATTTGTTCCATTGTTTAAAAAAAATCACAAAATGTCCACTCGCATTCAACTTCTTGTATACTCGTTAGTTAATGATCATTTGGCGAAAAATGCAATGAGATCTAAAAGTAACATATTCACTATAATTTTGTTGTTTTGTACAATTTTCTATCGCAGATTTACCACATATAGCAGATTTCTTAAACTTTCAAACAAACCCAAATACCAATTTTGAAACAAACTTCAAGAATCAAATAATCTCAAGCAATCTCTAATTCAACTCATTTAGAACTCAAGTAATTTGATGTTATTTGTGATCGTTTTCACGTTTATGGGATGTTTAATAAAAATCAAATGACATGATCACCCCACAATTTTATGAAACATTAAATCAAACAAATTTCAACATTTAAGCATACCACAACAATAAAATCCAACCAACTAGAGTAGCCCAGTTGGCCAGAACCTCTGCCTTTTCATTGGGAGGTCAGGGATTTGAAGTTTCCTAAGAGCAAAAAAGCGTGGCTGTTTGGTAGGAATCTCCCCGTATACCCAAGGCTAGCCCAACAGCAGGTGTAAAAAATCAATATCGTAAATAATCCATGTAAAAAAAAATCTTATAAAAATATAAGCCCAATCAATTATTTTAGGCTCATAATTCAATCCAAACATTAAATATCTAAAACAAATTAACAATAAAAAAAAAAAAAACTGAAAGGTTTTATTAAATCCAACAAAATAATTTAAACGTCAAATCATATCTTCTTTTTAACACTCCATTTCTCTCTCTCTCTCTCTCACACACAGAAAACCAACCAAATCAACTATATAAAAACAAATTTTTTTTCTCTCATTGAACTGAAATAAAAAAATAAACTCTTCTTCTTCTCTCTCTCTCTCTCTCACAGTGCTCTCAAGACTTGAGAAATCACCGAACTCGTTACTCAAATCAATGTTTTTTTTTTTGCCAAGTGCTACAGCAGAAAACTCACAGTCACAGATCACTCAGGTGACTGACTTGGTGACGATGACTTAGCCTCCACTCCATCCTTCATTATCAGCTCAAGTTTTCATTGTAATATAAGGGACATGGTTTAGAACCAAAAAATATTAACACTAAACATAGAAGGCTTCATTTAAAAATATCGTTTTTGGTCTCAAATTGTCTTAAGCCACCCCAGCGTATACCGAGACAACGAAAAAATCCAAATAGTACAACAATTGAAACAAAATCCTACACATCTGCCTGTGCCTACGACACTTCTTAAAAACACACCAAAAAAAGTCACCACACTCTTTCAAAACCACTGCTACCTATAGCATGAAAGAAAATAAGCAAAGAGCTAAACAAAACTAACTCAAAAAAAGAACATTAAACAAATCAAGAAAGATGAAAACACAGACCAAGAAGCAAAAACTCTAGAAAATTCTTGTGTCTGTATAATAAAAAAAAATGTCAATTAAAAAATGGGGATTCATGGATCAGATATTAAATAACGAAAATCATCAGATGATAAATGACGAGAATCATAAAAAATTCACAAGAAAACAAAACTTTAAATAACAAAATTTTAATGAAACAAATCATGATGCCGCAATTAAATTTGATATCTCACTAAAAATCACAGAGAGGAGCCATGTGACAACTCAGTTCACTTCAAAGTTGTAGCACCTTCAATTTGAAAAAGCAAAATGAATATAAAATTGAAAATATAGAGCAAGATTATGACAATACATATTTATGTTCTCATGGCATCAATACTGACCAGCCTAGATCCAAAGGCTTGGGCTCGGTTTGTAAATTGGGCCAAAATTGTCAAACGTAGGTTAGGCTTAGCTCATGTCTTTAATCCAGTCAAAAACTCAAAGGTTCATGAAGAATCAATTCACGAGGGAGAACAATCATCAGGATAACTATACTACAACAAATAAAGACAAAAATGAAATAACAACTGCACAGTGATAACATTTTTTTTTTGGACAGAACAGTGACAGCACTGACTTCACAATAACTAGGACAAAAATCATACAGAGCCAAAAACACTCGAGGAATATCCTATAAAGGTTTGCTAATTTTCAAACCAAAACATCAATTTCAAATGAGCCAAGGTTCAAATGCTAAAGCTGGGATTGATCAAAGATGAGTCCACTTTCCATTTTAGCATGTAAAAGTCTTGAACCACTAACCATCTGATTAAGCCCACCAAGCAATCCTAACATTTATGCCCATTACTCTGAGTTGGTAGAGCTACAACATTTCCACACAAAGAATCATATAATTAATGATTCTATCTAAAACTACTCTAACTATTAACAGGTATTGTAACAACTGCCTTGAACCCCTCCTATCCTCTGTTGATTTTCAGCAAAACCACCTGTAATAGGCCCTTCCACCCAATTTGATCATAAAAAAACATTGCAATATATCCAAGAAAATGACGCCACACCCCGATCATGTATGTGAAAAAGGCAAATGATCCTATAGTCACATATGACGTTTAAACATGAAAATCCTCCGATCATAAAAGATTTCACACAAAAAAATGCACAAAATTTTGGGGCAAAAAACAAAACCCAATGAAAATCACTACAAAAAATTTGAAAAATGAGTAAATGAAAAATAAGTAATCGATATGCGTGTGCACGTGAGAAGCCCCACCTGCAACGCTAATTTATTTGATTGCCTTGAACACACCCAACAGTAACAAATCCCTTCCCAAGTGCATAACACTCTTCATCATGCCTTCGGTCGGTGGAGCAAGCCTTCTGCAATGGGGGTGTTGTTGGCGCAAAAACAAAATAGCTAGCTGCTTTTCTCGTCAGGGATAGACAGCCAAACGAAGGTTATAGGAAATAGTTACTGTAATAGTTAATCTGCTGGAAACAAGATTTAAGGTATACCTATGTAAAATAGCTAAGAAGACTGGTATATTGAGACTCTTGGAGTTGCTTTAAAAGGCTAAATAGAGATAACTAAAGTGTACTACAACCTAATAGGCTAAATAGAGATTGAGAGAGAGAAGAAGATTGAACTGAGCATCCGAGATAAAGACATGATTAGTAGCATAATTGTGTGTAAATAGAAGAAGACATATGTTTTTGGGTTTTCCTAATGAAGTTGTTATGCAAACTCTTTCCTAATCCGAACCCTTCTCCTGTTAGGATTCAAATCACCGCCTCCTTCACTCTATATATATTTACCCACCAGTCCCCTCCGATGGAACAACTACGCCAACTGGGAAGAGTCCCAAAATGCGGATTTCAATCGAGCCCGGCCTGTTTGGGAAAGTGCCTTAGAAGTCGATTACCGTGACCACTCTAGTTGGTTTAAGTACGCCGATTTCGGGATGAAGAATAAATTCATCAATCGTGCTCGGAATGTCTGGGACCGCGCGGTAACGTTGTTGCCTAGGGTTGATCAGTTGTGGTATAAGTACTTTCACATGGAAGAAGTACTAGGCAATGTCGCTGGTGCGCGACAGATTTATTAACGGTGGATGAGTTGGGTCCCTGACCAACAAGGTTGGCTTGCGTACATAAACTTCGAGCTTCGCTAGGATGAAATCGAAAGGGCCAGAGCGATATATGAAAGATTTTTGGATGAACACCCGAGAGTGAGTGCTTGGTTGCGGTTCGCCAAGTATTAAATAAAGAATGGGGAGATTGATAGGGCGAGGCAATGAGTAAACTGGCGGATGATGAAGAGGCGGAGCAGTTGTTTGTGGCGTTTACGGAGTTTGAAGAAGGGTGTAAGGAGATTGAGAGGGCAAGGGGTATATATATGTTTGCTTTAGATCATCACATACCCAAGGGGTGTGCTGGGGTTTTATATAGCAAGTTTGTGGCATTTGAGAAGTAGTATGGGGATAGGGAAGGGATAGAGGGTGCTATTGTTGGGAAGAGGAGGGCTCAATATGAGGATGAGGTTTGGAAGAATCCACTACATTATGATTCTTGGTTTGATAATATTAGATTGGAAGAGAGTGTGGGAAATAAAGATAGGATTAGAGGGGTTTACGAGAGACCTATTGCAAATGTTCCTCCAGCTGAGGACAAGTTGTATTGGCAGCGCTATATATACTTGTGGATCAATTATGCTTTGTACGAAGAGCTTGTTGTGAAGGACATGGCGCGGGATTGAGATGTATATAGGAAGTGCCTCAAGCTGATTCCTCATGAGAAATTTTCGTTTGCGAAGATTTGGTTGATGGCTGCCCAGTTTGAGATACGACAGTTAAACGTCAAGGGTGCAAGACTAATCCTTGGCAATGCAATTGGGAAGGCTCCTAAAGGTAAGATATTTAAGAAGTACATTGAGATAGAGATGCAACTTGGTAACATGGATCGTTGTTGAATACTGTATGAAAAATATTTGCAGTGGTCTCCGGAAAACTGCTATGCATGGAGCAAGTATGCAGAGTTGGAGAAATCTTTGTCTGAAACTGAGCGAGCCAGAGCTACTTTTGAACATGCAACTAACCAACCTGCATTGGACATTCCAGAATTATTGTGGAAGGGGTACATTGAGTTTGAGATGTCAGAGAGTGAATTTGAATGAGCAAGAAGGCTTTATGGAAGGCTTCTGGAACGAACAAAACATTTGAATGTCTGGATTAGTTACGCCTAGTTTGAGGCATCTGCAATAGAAGAGAACGGCCAGGGTTCAGACTTGCTAGAAGGTCTTGATCAACAGAAGCAACAATGCCTTAAGCTTGCAAGAAGGGTATTTGAGAGAGCTCTTAACCACTTTACAACATCTACGATGCCTGATCTGAAAGAGGAAAAGGCGATGCTTTTGTAAGGGTGGTTAAACATGGAAATCAGTTTTGGTGACATTGGTGATGTGAATTTGGTATTTAAAAAGAGGCAGCAAGTAGAGGCTGACGGTACTCCTGTTGGGTATGAGTGTATAGACCATCTCTTATCTGACGAAAAAACTCAGACTACGAATCTCAAGATTTTGGAAGCTGCATACAATTGGAAGAAGCATAGGACTACTTTTGATCGGATTAGCAAGAAGTGGAAGAAGCAGAGGACTACTTTTGATTTTTAGCGAGCACATTGGCATTTACATTATATCATTGAGTAATCTCGTTCATTTTAATTAAGTGGATTAATATAGATTACAAGTGAGTACTCACTGGATTGAGTATTTATTTTTTTATTAAATAACACAAATAATAAAATTAAATAAATACACTAACATATAAAAAAATACACACACTATTACACCAAAAAATACAAACATATAACTAATACACCAAAATATACAAACACTAATACACTACCCATGACTCACGACCTGTGGGTTGACCCATGACCCGTGGTTTGACCCATAACTCATATGCCGCTGTGACCCATGGATCGATCCATAACCCATATGGGTTGACCCATAGCCCACAATCATCTTGACTCATTATTTGTGTATTTTTTTTATTAAATATATTTTAATTTTTGTGTTAGTATATGTGTGTGTATTTTTAATGTATTAGTGTATATTTTAGTGTGTATATTTTTAGTGTATTAGTTTTTGTGTGTTTTGGTGTATTAGTGTGTGTATTTTGATGTACTACTAATGTGTGTGTGTTTTGATGTACTAATGTGTTTATTAAAAATTTTAATTATTTTATGGATTAATCGGTTTAACCCAACTCGTTATAAACTCAATTCATTATAACTCATTTACTACATGAGTTAAAAATGAATTGAATTTATTTTAACTCAATCTAATTTAACCCAACCCAACCCAACCCATTCATTTGCCCCAGTTCTTATGCAATGCATTTAAATTAAAAAAAAAAAAAAACAAATATGATGTCAATTTTAAATGGTTGCATTAAACACATGTTTTTTAATAAAATGTTATAATTAGTCTTTTTGTTATTTTTGGTTATAATAATGCTATGCTGATCAAATTTTAGGATCAAATCAAGAGCTCAAATAACTTGGCACCTGACTTGGACTTCTTTATTTTTTGCTATGTCATTTGGGCCCTAATAAAGACTCGAAATAATCAGATGTCATGTTATTTGGACTCTTAATTTGGTCAACGTAACATTACTCTTTTTGTTAGCACGGGTGATGTACTTTAATTTTTGGCCCTTTTTGTGTTTATTAAAGGAATTAAATGCTATTCTGGAGGCGTGTGAATGCAATGATGCTATTTTAGAGCTGCAAGGCTACATTGGTAATAAAGAAAAAAAGTAATGTTATTTAGATCTAAAAATTTAATCACAATAAATTAGATTAAATTTTTAAATTTGAAAGAAAAAATGATTCAGCTAGTTTGAACTGGCTGAGGATTTAATTACTTAAAAGAGTCTTTGCCTGGACTGGTCGACAAACTAGGTCTCAGAATTGGACTTTTCAACAGTTTTGGTAATAAAAAAGAATCCTGGAGCTTATTTATGGCAAATTTTCACATAAATATATGAATTAGAGAGGGTTATAATAAAATTTTAAAAAACATAAGAGGACATTCTCATATCAAAACATTGTTTAATCTTCAATGTTCTTTCCAATAATCAAAACCAAACGTAAAAACTCTCTAAGAATTTTTTTTCCCAATTCAATCAATTTCTCTCCAACCAATCACCTGAATTTTCAAGTCGAGGGTCAAAAACAGTACCAGTCTTCACGTTCTTCATCAACGCAACACCATCTCACATGAAAAAAAAAGAAGGCAAATCCGAGATTCCCGTTATTATGGGTTTGAAGAGGGTAAGATATACATAATTTCAGATGGGCTATTTCTGCGAACCATTTTGCATGAAACTAGAAGAAAATTTTCATATCAGATTTTAACATGTCGTCCCTATTCCAATTGGGTTTAAGGTTATTGTTAGAGTTTTGGGTTTTAAGTTCAATTTTTTTTTATAGTCGAATCAAAGTGTTCTAAAGGCTGCAGTTTGGCTTTTGGCTAATACTACGTTTGGCCAGAATCAAACTTGACCCTCACAGCCGAAGTGTTAACTAGGTTCAATCTTCGATATTCTCAGTTACAAGTACAACTCGCGAATCCGAAAGCTTGTTTGGTAAAGAAACTTTGGACATGAGAGAGATTGATGTATCTACAATCTGCCCATGTTTTCTCAGCAATCCTATTTTGCTGAGGTGTGTAAGAGCAATACTTTTATTGCCATATCCCAGGCTTTTCAAGAAATTGCCACAAAGATTGATTGGAAAACTCACCACCCCGTTACAGTCACTGCATTGTTTCTTAATTCTAGAGGATACGAAATTTTCAACATAGCATTTAAATTTCTGGAAAACTGTTGAGACATCTGATTTATGTATGATCGGAAACAATCATGTGAATCTACTATTGCCATCCATGCATGACACAGTAATTAAAACTATGAAATGAAGGGGGTTTAGGTGATGAAGCCCAAACATCACTACGGATGAGTTCAAGAGAACGCAATGACACAAATTTAAAAAATTTGAAGGTATCCATGAGAGATGAACCATAATCCAGAGGAAAAGGGAAGAGCGGCCGATCCGCCAGCGGGTGATACGCAAGCGAGACTATTAGTGAACCAACTAAGTCAATCCCTTTTCGCTTTGCACTCCGCTTAAGACTGGAATGGAGTTAGCCCGAGTTCTGAAACCTTCTCTTGATTTAAAAGTTAAAGAAGCCTTGGTGCCTAGCGAAAGCGAGTTCTTACCCTTTGCCCCGAGGAGGGGGGGGGGGAAACTAACTCATTAGGGCGAGGGGAAGCAAGTCACAAATATCTCCTGGGGAAGGGACGGGACAAAGCTTGTCTAAGGCTGATTAAGCTCATACCAAGAAATTCTGTATTAATAGATAGAACCAGGAAAAGTTCTAATGCAGGCAAAAGGCGTAGAGGCCCTGTTATCAAGTCCTCTTTCAGAAGCGATGATTGGCCATAATTTATTTTTTGTACCTTTACGTTATGTGCACATTTTTAATATATATTTTATGTAGTGTTGGAGATAGTTATTAGAGAGTTATTTTAGTAAGTTGGTTAGTGATAGAATAATTTGTGAGAAATTTTTTAGGTGGTTACTAAGATAGTAAAACCATGAATCAAGTTAGTTATTAAAATAGTTTTATTATCTTGCATTTAAAGATTTTTCTATCAATAAAATGAATATGTTGAATATTGTATTGAATTTTCTTGCAGAAGTTTTGAAAATAAGTTCTTCTAAAATTGAGCAATCGAGGGTTTCTATTTCCTTGAAGGTGAGTTTTTTTCTTTGATTCTATTTTTTATTTATTTTTTAAATTTCTTAAAATTGTGCATGTATCAATTATAATATTTTAAGCTCGAGACTAACTTTGGAGTTGTAACTCAAAACCCTTTTCAATTGTCTAAGAGGATGTATCTATATTTACACCCTAACTGATATTTCCCTAACCAAAAGGGCTACAACTGATATTTCTTCTAGCAAAAAACTAACCAGAACAGCAATGGCGGCCATTTTCAGTTAGCCTCCTCCCACACGCCCACGCCATGGTCAAAGCATTGTTTAATCTCCACTACACTAAACCAAACAAACCTCTGTTGAAATTTATTGCCAAAATTCAATGATTTCTCTTCAACCAATCACCAGAATTTTCAAGTCAAAAAACCAGTCAGCGGTCAGTGGTCCATCTTCACCTTCTTCATCAACCCACCATCGTTTTACATGAAACTTGCAGAAAATTTTCAAATCCTCATTTGAACATGTCATCCCATTTGAAATTGGGTTTTGGGTTATGGTTATGGTTATGGTTCTGGGTTTTGAGCTCAATTTGTTTTACTGTCCAATCGAAGTGTTCTAAAGGTTGTGATTTGGCTTTAGGCTCATACTATGTTTGGCTAGAATCAAACTTGACCTTCATAGAGGAAGTGTTAAGTGCTCCAATCCCCGATATTCTCAGTTACAACCCACGAATCCCAAACAAAGACAGCGTCCAATCCGACATCAGAATTAACATACCCTTTTCCTGCGACTGTATCGCCGGTGAATTCTTGGGACATGTGTTTACGTACAACGTTCGTTCCGGCGATACCTACGACAGGGTTGCGCAGACATACTACGCGAACTTGACGACGCCGGAGTGGGTGAGGAGGTTTAACAGTTACGCGCCGGAACGAATTCCAGATACTAATGCCAGACTTAATGTGACAGTGAATTGTTCGTGTGGGAATAGTAGGGTTTCGAAGGATTATGGGTTGTTTGTGACGTACCCTTTGAGGCCTAACGAGAGTTTGGATTCGGTTGCCGCGCAGGAGAATCTCACTGCCGATTTGATACAGAGATATAATCCGGATTCGGACTTTAGTGCCGGGAGTGGCCTGATTTACATCCCAGGCAAAGGTAATCTTTGGTAGTTTAAGGTTTTCTTAATTTTTATTCATCCGAACGTTTGGATCGGTGGTTTTGTCATATTGCAATTGACTTCCATTGTAATTGTGATTTGCCATTCTTTGAACTTGGCACAGACTAATGAAGTTAGTACATCCATTTTCAGATCATTAGAGACTCTTTTATGATAGCTCCCATTTGTGATTTCATATAATTTCTAATTTTGCCCTATTTTTATGCTATTGTAATTGAATGACATTGATCCCTGGGGATGACGCAATGTGGTGCTCGGAGGATGATGGTGTTTTGGTGGGCAATGCGGGATGTTTTGGGTCGATGTCCTAATAATCTGGCTAATTATGCCGAGTCATTGTTGTTGAGCTTGTTGTTGAAGTGACGAGATAGTGGCAGGTCTCTGTGATTGGTCGAATTATGCAGTGAGGGAGTTTGACTGTATATCCTATGAAACCGCTTGGTGGAGGATGCCTCACATTGTCATAGATGCATTATTTAATGAGTGTTCTTATATGTAAGTTATATTTGGTTATTTTGGTCGTGACTCCATTTTGGATGACAAAATTGATTTACAATGTTGTGGAAAGCTTCAAGATACTAAAATCCTTGCTGTGTCTAATGTCCCATGATGTGATAGTTAGACTTATAAAGACCTATTAGTTGATTCAAGAGGGAGTGGATCGGCTTATTCTTATCTGCTTCGAACTGCTAGAAATTCTCTTATCAATGTTGCCTATTTTTTGCTTTTGCAGATAGAAATGGAAGCTATCCACCCTTTAAAACCAGGTAATGTCTTTTTACTTCAATATGCTTATAAAACCAAACTTTTTGTTATCATATGATCTCTGCGCCTAAGGTATTTTCTTGACATCATTTTCCTGTTATTATTTTTCATTTTGCAGCACAGGTGGTCTTGCCTTCTTCCCATGGTGGTTCAGTGTTAACTTTCTTCATTTTCCATATTTGGACACTTTAGATGATAATTTGGAGCGTTCATACTGCTTAAGCCTATATTTTGCTCTTATCTCAGTAGGATTATCACCTGGGGCCATAGCTGGAGTTTCTGTAGCAGGAATAGCAGGATTGCTGTTATTTGGAGGCTGCTTATATGTTGGATTTTACAGGAATAAGAAGCTACAAAAGACTGTAATGCTCTCAAGAACATCTGAAGATCAACCTCTTCAAGCTGCTCCTGGTAATTCTCAATATTTTCTTTTGTTTAGAGTTTCAGTCTGTATCTTTGAATAGTTACTTTAGAAATGGAAGCTTAATAAACATTTCTCGATTTGGCTCACCCTTGAAACTATATTAACTTCTTGGCTTATGAAATTGGAATATAAAATAGATGAATGCCAAATCTTAAGCAAACATTAGTCACAATGCCTTTTTTTGCATAGCCAAAGATCTCATGTCTAATTTGTAGACTTTCACCACTTCAGCAGATATTTGATCTATACAGCAGTGTAAAATCTTGTCTCATGGCTTTTGTTGATGCTGGTGTTTTCCCAAACCAGTAAATGTGGCAAACAGGCAGGTGCTGGAAATAGACTGGGGAATCTGTTGGTTTTTGGTAACTTGCAGCTGAAAGAATCCAGTAAAACCATCCCTCAGAAAATATAAAAAGAAATAAAACACAATAAAATAAAGGGATCCCAAAACAGCTTTCATTGTACCTGGTACGGGGATTAATATCCAATGAAAGCAGAAATACATTTATAGTCAAGTGATGAAGCTGTAATTGCACATATGTAAGAGAAAAACAGTGAAAGGGTGGTAGGGGATAAGAGAGGAATCTTTAACTGTATAAAGGTTTCCGAGGCAGTTAGAGATCCGTAGGCAAGGTCGTTATAAGATTTGATATTGCAATTTTTTTTTTTATTTTTTTATGTATGGATATTTATCTGGGATTTTAGAGGCGCAGGGATTCCAGATGGATAGTTGGGACTAGGTTTGTGATTTTAGTGTAAGCAAAAGTATGCCCTCTGGTTGCTTAATGTTGCAAATGTTTAAGGCTTGAGTGTCAGGAAGCTTGCTATGTCTTGGATCCACATTGAGCAGCCCTTGAGGAGTGAATAAGGCCTTAAATGAATTTTTTGAGAGTTAGGAAGGTTTGAGAAGGCTTCAGGTGCCTGTAGAGGGTTCAAACTTGCTTCAGATGGACAAGGAAGAGTTGGCTAAGCTGAAAATGGTATGTAGCTCCGAATTACTCTAGTGCAGATAGTCAATGGGAGCTGAGAATAAATGTCGACATGGCTGAAGAAAATTATGGTCATTTGAGGTTATTTCATTATATAAGAATCATTTTGGCTGCATTTTATATGAGAAATGTTTCCTACTTCAGCAAAAACATTGTAAGTTACTTCCCAATAGGCTGATATGTTGTATATCTCTTGTGCATTTTGTTTACAATTTACGAAATAACTTGATCAATAAAGCCATTTTGTCAGACTGACAGAATGTGTCTTTTTGTTTCTTAGATGTATTCAAGCAAGCTTATCATAGATTCCTATTTCTATCTCTTTTGCTTGAAGCAAGCTTATCATAAATTTCTAGTTCTCTCTCTTTTGCTTGTGAAAAAGACGAAATTGGTAAATATGACTTCACTGATTACTTTTTGCTTCCTTCGGAGTTTAGCTTCTGGAGGTCCTGTGGTCAAAGCTGCAGAATCCCCTGGACTTGCTGGTGCTTCTCCTGGCCTCACTGGCATAACTGTTGACAAATCAGTGGAGTTCTCATATGAAGAGCTTGCAAAGGCTACCAATGACTTCAGCATTGCTAATAAGATTGGTCAAGGTGGCTTTGGCTCTGTTTACTATGCTGAGCTCAGAGGCGAGGTTTGTACATCTGATGTAATCATTTAGCATTAGAAAAGGAAAATTTGGAAACTGCATGTGATACCAATGGGATTAATAATTTTCTATATATCTGGGCCAAGTTTCTTGAGTAAGAGCATTACATGTTCTTATAAGTTGAGCTTTTACTTGGTTATGTATTTTCTTTGGTATATGCGAGAAGATTTATCAAGGAGATTAATTTTAATAGGACAATTCTGGTGATCTTATTGGGTCAAGGAAGACAAAAATGTCAGTATGGCTTCACTTATCAAAGCCATTATTTTGATTTAATCTTAGTTAAGTGTAGTTTGGAGCTACTGATGAGTATTGTACTGCAACATCATCGTCAAATGCATAAAAAACAGTCGTGCATGACTCTGAATTGATCACTTTCTTATTTTTGTATTTTTTGGGCATAGGAGGCATGCATATGTTAATCAATGTTTTTGTTATTTTTTTGGAGGCTTTGAGTTTGTGAAAATATGATGTTCAATGGATGCATATTTGTACGCCTTTTAGCTGGCACTTGAATGGATGTGAATCACTGAAGTAAAATTGTTGTAGTTGGACTCAGATAGTTGGGATATAGGTTGTGTAACATAGTTGGCACTCCCAAGCTGGTTGTAGGGTGAATGGGAAACTATTCCTATGAATAAATAAAGGAAAAAAAATACACGTAGACAGATACAAATGGATGAATGGAATCATGGATAAGTAAATTGTCGGCTTGTTGTGGGTTATTGCAATGGGGCCTATGCTGTCAACATCCAAATGCATTTCTTAAGGTATCATTCATGGTGATGAATTTGGAAGCTTTGCCTTTCTTATTATGAGAAGGTTATTGATGTAGTTCCCTTTGTCAATACAACTGCTTATGAATCAGTATAATTTGGTGGTGTCATACTTATTTCTGATGCTAAGTGCCTGTATTATCTTTCTTACTTCTCCCTGGCCTGATTTATGCAGAAAGCTGCAATTAAGAAGATGGATATGCAAGCAACAAGAGAATTTCTAGCTGAATTAAAGGTTTTGACACATGTTCATCACCTGAACCTGGTATATACTATCTTTCCTGGCAATGCTTGTCTTTTTTCGTAGAGCTGGTCATCTTTTTTTTAAAAAAAAATTTCCAAAAGCATATTTCAATTTAATTCATCTTCCTTATTAGTTTCGAATAGTTGGCATTTCTATTCAAGAAAGTTTCTACTTTCCTCGTTATAAGTGTTGTTGGAAGTCTTTGTTTCACTTACAGATCTAGCATAAACATAATTGGTATTGTAGATCCAACCTTAATTTGCGAGGGAGGAGTTATTGTGCCTTCATATACCAAGCTAACTGGGAATTAGTTTATATGACCTGATCATATGGGGCAGAGAAATATAGTAGATATACTGGACAAAGTAGTTTACATTAGAAGTAAATTCATATTTGTTGCTGAAGACAATTTTGAGGATCAGCTATTATGTATAAGTTTGATTGTGAAATCATAATATTACTGGTGATGCTTTCAGCATCTTAACAATTTATTGGCACCTAATGCAGGTGCGCTTGATTGGGTATTGCACTGAGGGTTCTCTTTTCGTGGTCTATGAATACATTGAAAATGGCAACTTAAGTCAACATTTGCATGGGTCAGGTGAGATTACATGTTCAATAATAAGATCCTGATAAAATAATAGTCCATTCAATACGACAGTTAGTTAATTTGTTATCTCTTTCCAGGGATGGACCCGCTGCCATGGCCAACTAGAGTGCAAATTGCCCTGGATTCAGCAAGAGGTCTTGAATATATCCATGAGCACACTGTTCCTGCCTATATCCACCGTGATATTAAATCAGCAAATATTCTGATAGATAAAAATTTCCACGGGAAGGTTGTTTCAATGCCCCTATGATTGAAGTACAATTCATGTGAAGCCTTACTAACAGAAGCATAGTAAAATAATTATTTTGCAGGTTGCAGATTTTGGTTTAACAAAGCTCACTGAAGTTGGAAGCACTGCTCTGCCCACACGTCTTGTGGGTACATTTGGATATATGCCACCAGAGTATGATAATTTTTTGCTTTGTTTCATATATATTAAGCCGATATCATAGTTAGCAAATAATAATGAGGATGTGAGCTGCTCCATGGAACAGATGTCATTTCAAATAATCGCCACTCTTGATTCATTAGTGACATTGTTGGTCAGTAAACCTTGGTCATCCAGAATTAACTACTTGTCTATGGTGATTTTCTGGACCTTCAGTGAGTTAGACTTGATAGATTATTGGACTGTTGCCATAAAATAATTTCTGTGAAACCCCCGAGTTAGTTTTTTAAGTCTGGAAATTATGTGTCAGATGCACTAAAAAAGTTGTAGTTCTTTCACATTTGTAAGATTGGCATGGCCATGGATTTTCATGAGTGGGGAGGTCTACATAAAGAAGACTGGTCTGTGCAAAACAAGCTAAGTTTAGTGAAGTCAGAAAAATGTATATTTAAGTGAGCACGATAATCTAATTTAGAGCTTAGAACTCATTGAATGGAAAACAAATGGTAAGAGATTTAGTAGGCTTAAAGGATTCTAATCCTTGATTGGCAGTTTTGTTTCTATTATAGTTATTTTCTTAAATAAATATGCTACTTAGAGTATTCCTTGAAGTAATACATCTAGAGAGCAGGGAATTCACATATTTTTCACAGCTCACTCTACTCTGCTTTGCTTCGAGGCCATACCTTTTTGTTATCTCAAAAGTTGCTTTGTGGTTGTCATCATTTTAGTCCTTGAACAGTTGTTGCCTCTCCTTTCCTAGTCATACACAGGCCTTTGGTTCACCTATCACGATCATCTTAGACGACGTTCTCTTTTTTTCTTTTCTTTTTTGTACGTCTTATATTTACTAGATTGTATTTGTCCTTTACAATGGTTCTCTGTTTCCCTACTCTATTTTTGTTCCCTGAAAAATGCAAAATCCTACAGGGAAAAGGGGAATAGTTGTAAGTTTAACACTTCCATCTTCCTTGAGAGTGAGCTCCCAAATCCCAAGGGATATGGTGCGATTCCCACTGGTAGAAAGTAAAAATTGGTGTTGATCTTAATAATCTTATATACCTGTAGGAAATTCATCAACTTTGACACTGCTTTTGTGCAGATATGCTCAATATGGTGAAGTTTCTCCTAAAATAGATGTCTATGCTTTTGGGGTTGTGCTTTACGAACTAATATCTGCCAAGGAAGCCATTGTCAAGGCAAATGGTTCTGTTGCTGAATCGAAGGGCCTAGTTGCTTTGGTAAGCAATCTTGTATTACTTCTTTTGAATATTAAAGAGTGGTTATGAGACAGGGCTAATCTCTCAGCATCATGACAGATATAGCTCACAAGAGCTTATTGTAGACACTCTGTTACCTGTTGTGCACTTGTAGTACATATGCTGTTGGCTTTTCTTAAATACCTCGCCCCTGTTTTGGAATCCCTACTGAAATTTTACTCACTCCCCCTTCCCCCCCACCAAAAAAAAACAAAAGTTAATTCAAATTTGTAGCCCTAAATTTTTTCAGCTGGATTCAGTCAGCCTTTGACATCTAGCAGGTTGATGGTGGGCTTTTGGCCATCTTATACAACTAATGTAATCTCTTATATAGTCGTTAGCTAATTGTTATTGTGCCTCTGATGTTTGACAGTTTGAGGAAGTTTTTAGTCATCCGGATGCAGGAAAAGACCTTTGCAAACTGGTTGACCCAAGGCTTGGGGATAACTACCCCCTCGACTCAGTGCGCAAGGTGCAGTATTTCTTTGTGACTACGATAGAAAATAGGGTCCTTTATTTATTTTATTAATTCTCTTTCTTATAAAGGCTTGGTGGTGACCTATTTGGTTGCAGATGGCTCAGCTAGCCAAAGCTTGCACACACGAAAATCCTCAGCTACGGCCAAGCATGAGATCCCTTGTGGTTGTGCTGATGACTCTCTCATCCACTACAGAGGATTGGGATGTTCGCTCCTTCTATGAAAACGAAGCGCTAACGAATCTAATGTCCGGAAGGTAGTTCCAAGAAAGCACCACCATACTCAGGCTTATGTGTCGCGAGTTGTTGCTTGTGAATTTACATCAAGATTGAGCTGCTGTTACAAGAATCAGAAAACAAGTATCACTTGTACATTTGAGTTTTGTAGGTATGCAAATTTGTTGTTTGGTGAGTGCAGGGAATTAAAAGAGTGTGTTGACATTCATTCATTTTTCTGTTTATTTCAGAAAAGATGTCGGTAGAGTTACAAATATGAACTTGTCTTTACCAAGCTTTCATGTTTTCTATTAGCAGCAAATAAACTTTTGAGTAAATTATACATATGATCCTTAAATTATGGTCTTTAAGTTCCTAAACTTTTTTTTTTGTATCAATTGAATTCTTGAACTCTCTAATTGTGTCAATTGATTATTTATGTACGCCTCTGTTTGGTTTTTTAATAGAAACGTGACATAAATGGTTATAGAGTAAACTATATATATATGACCTTCAAACTATGATCCGTGTATCAATTAAGTCCATAATTTTTATTTTTTTTTCGGTATTAGTTGAGTCTTTGAACTTTTTTTTTTTTGTTTGTATGTGTGTCAATTGAGCGCCTGAACTGACTAATTGAGTCTTTCTGTAATATATAGTCTTGTGAATAACACACTCTAACGAACACTGACAGAATGACTCAATTGACACAATCAGAGAGTTTAAGAGCTCAATTAACATCAAATAAAAAAAGTTTAAGGACTTATTGAACATAAATGTCATAGTTTGAAGACTATATATGTAATTTGCTCTAATTTTTTTTATAACAATGAAGCAGTCTACCAAATAGTCAGCAAAAGAAATTATCTCCATACAATTATTGATGAATGATCATAACCCTAGTCACAACCAAGATCATTTCAATATGATCGAAATATTTGTAATTTTAAAAAGATTAAAATAAATTAATGATTGAATCAGAATTTTAATAATTTGATATGTAAGTTGTCAATAATTCTGAATTATAACAGGTTGATAATTTAAAACAAATTTTTGTATTGAGAAGGGTTTTTTCAAAATATATATATATAAATTTAAAATAACGATAATTTGATGTATAAGTTTAAAATTTAATATTTAGATTTAAATATATTTTAGAAAATCAATAGTTAGATAGTTAACTCATGTTTCACGTAGTCCGGTGTTATCTTTCAGTGTGACTCCATTCGGTCCCACTTTAACACCGACGCTGTAATGAATATCTTGGATGGAAGAAAGTTACAATTCCGCATACATATCTTGACTTTGAATTATTAATTTCTTGAATTGATAAAAAAAATATATATATTAATTTCTTGATAAAAAAAATTTTTAATTTTAAATTAAATTATATGTAACATTAAT